CATGAACGAGGAAAAAACAATTTACGAATTGAGTCCCGGGTATAAAAGAGAAATATACTAATTGAGTACGAGGATTACTTTAAATAAAACATAAAATCAACTATAATTTACGTGATATCGTTTACATGTTAAAATGCACAATGCGAAACATACATCAAAATTAGAAATACTCAAATTATTAATACAATAAATGATATGAAAAATAAAGAAAAATAAACCGGAGAACAAATTCAGCTTTTGCAATCAAAGAAAATAACACATTTAAATGTTTATCATATACATTTTTACCAATATGAAAAACATAATTTTATCACCTATATTCATTTCGATTATAAACGTGTAACATTTAAATTATTTATTTATATAATTATTATAATACATTTTTATCGTTATAAAAAATGTAATTTTGATGGGTTTTTTTAGGTTTGACGAGACTCAGTATTAAAACATGGACTCAATTAGTATATACCTATACCTTAAAACAACCAGGGATTTAATTCGTTCTAAAAGGTTTTATTTGGACTTAGTTCGTATGTAGCCGAACACCCGGTTCCCGTTTAAATTTTATTTTATTTTACACATATAAATGGGCTAGTGTTCAATTTATAGGGTACATAACATAATATTTAATATAGTACAAATAAGAATGAAAAAGATAATTGTATATTAAGGAAAGAGGGGTCCTCATTTTCCAGTTGCATTAGCCGATTGATCAGTTGATTCAGCATGTAATTGGTTTTGCAGAGAGCAACGTGGAAAGGAATTTTATGGCGAGTAGATCGTGTAAGAACTTTAAAATTAACAAATGAAAGAAAAGAGGGAGAATCAATTGTGGAAGAGATAAGTTTTGTTAGGAAGGACATATTCTAATAGTAACGACGGTTTGCTAAAGAAGATAATGTGAGTTTGGTTTGGACAGGAGAGTAATCTTGAGGTGGGCAGGGTATATTAAAAGCATAACTGGCATAATTTAGAAACTTCTTTTAGACGCCTTCAAGTTACTAACTTAGCAACCTAAGACAAGAGCCTCAATTTTGGAAATGTGGTTAAGTATTGCAATAGGCCTATAATTTTCTACCCTGGTGGGATTACTGGATTTTGAAAAAGGTGTAAGTGAACTGATCTTCCAGATATTAAGGAATACTCCATGGTCCAAAAATAGACGAAACAGAACCCAAAGTGGAAAGGAAATAACATGCCGGAGGTTAAATAAAAAGTTACCTGATATACCTTCAGGGCCAATTGCCAAAACATTACGAAGGGAGGTGAGTTTATCGAACACATCACGTTGGGTGAAGTTACAATTACTTGATAGATCAAAACAAGGGATGTCTAAGCTAAAGGGGTCAATATCGATTGAAGATTTTGAGTAAACAGAACTGAAGTGCGAAGAAAATAAATTGACAGACTCTTGCTCAGAGGAACTGTATACGCCATTTAAGGACAAGGATTTGGGAATAATATTAGGAGAACGATTTTTACGAATGAAATCCCGAAATTATGCAGGTTCTTTAATAAAATAATTTTCTGGTCGTTGCAAAAAAGCTTTAAAACATTGTTTGAATATAAACTTACATATAGCACGAGTTAAGGAAAAAGCCTTATAATCAAGAGGGTCAAATGTGGATTTGAATATGGCATGTAGTTGATATTTTTTACGAGTTAGATTCATTAGTTCAAAAGACACACACAAAAGTCACCTGCATGAATTGAGCAATGAAAAAAGAGCATTGTACGGCCAGTACTGACGATTCGAGGGTTGCCACTTTACTATTTAGATGATCCACATTAAAACGCAACTTATCATTTTCCATCTTGAGGTCGACGACTAATACAGATAACTATTTGAAGTAATTCCTAAACTCATCGGAATCAGCTATTAAAGTAGCCGAGAGGACTTTGTTAGACGTCGAGAATTCATCACGAAAAGCGCTAAGAGCTGTCATAAGATCATTGTTTGATGCGTTAAGACGGGTGTTGGGACGTTGAGATGAAGTCGATATATTTGCCTTTGTGGAACTCATGGTTCGATAGAAGTTGTATTAACAGCAAAAGATAATCAGTACGAACGTCGCCCTTTGGAATTGTGCAGATGCAACTTATTGACAAGAATGTAAATACGAGACGACAAATAGTACGAGTACAATTAATCAGTTTCAAACACTCGGTACCAATTCAAATTCTTGATAAAACTGCACCGCCGTAAATTTAGCTCAGCAGCGCGGTATACACGAATAACACGGGTTATTACGGTCTATACAACTATTATTGGATAGTTATGCGAAAAACTGGCCGGCCAACGGTCGCATAAATGAAAACATTGATGAGCGACGAACACCAACAGACGCCGTTCTCGGACGAAGGGAGCTAGAAATTCGTTGGTACAAACTGGCGTGTTTAAAACAAACCAATGCAAACCGGAGAAATTTTTTCGGACATACCGGCGTGCGAAAAATTGACACTGATCCTATTATTTCTGACCATGTCGACGGTATGGTTCGTTATACCGGATTCGTTTTCTATTATCTTTTTGTCTGGTTTTTTTTTGAGATTCGTCCAACCTTATCATTTTTTCTTTGGCGGCTCCGCACCACCACCACTAACCGACCGAATCTGTCAGGTTTTACTTGTTATTATCTTTTTTTCTTTGTTTTTTACGTTCACATTTTTTAAATTATTATTATTTAATAAATAAATAATTAAAACGATAATGGCATCAAACATAAATTGGTCCAATATAGACGATCATATTTTTGAAAGTATGTATTTTATATATAATTAATAATTGGTATAAAATTAAATGCAAAGATACCGACTTTATTTTCACTTCAGCGGTCACGCGGATTATAATAGTAATCCAAATTTTACTGTTATTAAACTTTATCATTCAGCATTCTAGTATTACTAGATTAATAATTCAGAAAAAAATTCAATAATGTAAATTATTCAGAGAAAACTGTGATAACATAGAAAAACGTACTGTGTGATAACAAATAACTATGGACTACAGAGGGAGTAATGATATTTTGTACCAACTACGAGTCAACGAATTTCTTGTAAAACCGGTACCATAATGTGCGAATCGGTATCACACACCGTTACGAACGAATCTGTATCAACATCTTAACCGATCTCCTTTCTACGTACCTGTGTGTGTTGTACCGATCCGTTTTAGCGTACCAGTATGATAAATAATGGAATCGACACGGTACACCGGTTCGTACCAACGGATTACTAGGAGAATTCACGAAATGTTTGATGTATCCGCTACCGGTCGAATCGGTTCCCACTGCAGTTCGCAGTGATAAGACAATCGAATACACTGCACATTTCCCTTCCCGTTCTTACAGGCTTCGGGCTGCCGACTTATGATAACTTGAATTGTATGCTAGAAACGTTTCTGTATTCCTTACACGGTACGTTTAGTAGTACGCCGACAGAACATTATTTTTTTTTTTTCTACTTCGATAACTGTAAAATACCCGCCGCGGCGCGATTAAAGTTAAATAAAATTGTAATAATGTGCTACGTCGTGTACTGTATTTATTGTGTTTGTCGTATACACGCGGGTATTAAACGGGAACGGAATCGGTTCGTCTTCATAAAGTGCCATTTTCAAACGGGAACCAATTCGGCATGTGCAGCAGGGGTATTATGAGCTTTCGGATACATCCTACTGTATATTGTTGTTTAAGTATTGGTAATATTGTAGTCATTGCCGTTGTCCAGTATTTCAATCGAGCGCAGGGTTTCCGGGACGGTTACGAAAAGAATAAAAAAAAAAAACCCCGCCGAAATTGAAAATCGAAACTCGTCCCGTACGTGCAGCGAGAGCCGATTCCGTATACGTGTACGTCACTTTTGTTGTATCGCGCGCCCAACCGTCCCCCGCCTTGTTCCGGGCAAAAACGGAAGCGAACGTTCGCTTGAGAACGGCGGACCGAATAGCGAGCAGCTCGACAACTCCGCCCGCACGCAATATTTGTTCGCGCCGCGTGTGAATCGGAATTTGAAAAAAGAACCCGCGCTGACCGGCGCGGGTATTATTATTATTATTATTATTATTATTATCATTGTCGTCATTATTGTTGTCACTATTTTTACCAGTGGTGTGACGAGGACATTGAAAGGACGTAAGCAGTGGTACATTTTTCAAAAGTCATTAGAACGCCGATTATACATTTTGTGGAAAAAAAAAAAAATAAAAAAAATACGGATTTCGCCCTTTTAACATTTTCTTTGATAGTTTTTAACGGCACAGTGCGTTTTTAAATGTACACAATTTAATCGAATCACGAACGTTGTTATTAATTTATTATGAACGGTGTACGGCGGGGATAAAGCGAACGGCAGCGTATAGACGAGACGACAACGAATGTCCGACGTCGAAAAATAAACCTCCCCTCCCCCCCCCCAATTGTATTACTAATTGTATTGTTGAAAACCACGTCGGCCACTCGCGTGAGGCGAATCGAGTGGTCGGTAGGCACACGAACGCCGGCTTAATACGTGACCCCTGCACGACCGTCCGGTGACTGAACCGCGCACAAAAAACGGTCGCACGCGAGCAATTTCGGATTGTGTTACACGGACGTGCATGCGGGTTGTGTGATATTCCGATGACACGGCGATCAATCAAAAATAGACGGCCCTCGGTGGGAAATAATTGTCGGTACGTTTATCGGCGGACGACGCGGCGAAACCGGCAAAAAGACGACGAAAACCGCTACGACTTCAATCAAGTATTTAATAAACAAACGTATATTTTACAAAACGATTCGTACGAATATTTACGATTGAACGATTTTCTTTTTTTTTTTTTTTTTCGATTTAAAGTATAAGCAGTGCGCACGGCGCTAACAATATGCCCGTTACGTCCACGCGTTTGTTGCATCGTATCGTGCCGAAATAATTATTGCTGACCCGCGGTTATACCGAGGGACGGAAAGTAGGGAAACATTTACGCCCCGAAACGTTTTCCCAATCATATTCATAGCGTTTTAAACTGCGTACAACGGTGAGCGTCTAAATGGAAAACTTGACCTTTTCCCCCCGGGAGCCAGTGCGTTGTTATTCATCGGCTCTCGTTTTCCCGGCGTGGGTTCGTTTGGTGACGTTAAGAAATCGAACAAAAAAAGGTTCATTAAAATCAGATTAGTATTTCTTGAGATGTTTGCTAATGTAAAAACAAACGGTTCCTCTGTACAGTTTTCATTTAATAGCAGGAACTTTTCGGACTGACTCACTTCACTTACATATCCATTTACAGCTGAAGTTCTCCTTTGCAAGATCCGAGATCCGCGCTCTTCGAAACTTACATCCGTTCTAATCGATCCCATATGCCGTGCAGTAATTGTTATTCGATACGCCTTCGCCATTTTAACTGCCGAGAAACGTATTGAGTAACAGCCGAGTGTAAAACGCGTAAACCAAAAAACGATAAAAATATACAATTGATATGAAACCATTGATGCAATATGATTTTCTATTATCATATGACTTCCGTTTCACTATGGTAACATTGGTAACCCACAAAGCTTTTTGATATCTTAAATCACGGATGTTTTATACTTATCTTCCTTGTATTATTTTAGCTCCATGTAGGATACATTAGGCATGTAGCGTTCCACAGTACGTTCCACGCTTTCGTCAAAAATCACACTTAAATCGCAATACATTTCTTCCAGGCCATCATCAGTTAGGTACCATTTATTTACATTTTGGAAAACCATAATTGTGGAAGTCAATTTTTTTTTTTGGCGCATAGGGGAAATCCATTGATTTTAGTGACATGTGTGGTTTTTTTTTTTTTTTAGGTTTGGAACGGTTTGGTTTCGAAGGATCTATCAGTTTTACTGTGATGTGGTTCTATGAGAAACTTTTTTTGGCAAGAAATCTTGCTCCGATGTATTAAACGTAGCAACTTTTTTGTTACATTTCGAATCTAGTTGCTTACGAAAAAGTAGGTTTTTTTATTTTTCAAATAGTTTTCATAATAATCGGGTAAAACTGAAAAATGAAAACGAACAAATTTACGGGGAAAATATTTCGTTATTTTAAATTTTTAGAACTTTATGTTCTCTACCAGAAATATTGTTCCAATAGAAAAATGACAAGAGACCTTTTTTAATGAATTTTTAAACTTGTTGGTAACTAAAAATGTTACTTTTTTATTTTCCATGTGGTTTTAATAATAATTAGGAAAAGTCGTAGAAAAACTGGAAAATGTACGAAATTAATTGTTTCATAATTTTCAATTTTGTTTTATTATTTTAATTTAGTTAAAGATATTCGTAGAGACTTGAGATTTCGACCAAAAACTTATTTGTGGCTTTTTTAGAGGAGGTAACATTTTCAAAATATTTTGGCAGTTTTTGAGATATTTATAAGCATTTTATATTTGTGAGTATTTTTTTATTATAAATTGTATTTAGTGGTCAAAAAAAAAAAAAAATAGCGTAATTTAGTATTTGTTTAATGGTAGAAAATCAAATTTTGATTAATGTCATAAATATTACGTCCTTTCGAACGATGTATTAACGAATTTCTTTCAGAATTTTGTTTCGTTAGTAATAGTTTATCGTTGCTTACAGATATAAATTAAAACCTTGTGTATCTTAAATTTTCAACTTTCTACTTACAAAGTAGCGTACCCATCAGTAGTATCAGTTCTTTTTATTTTTTTAGATTGTAACGATTCAATCGCAAATAATAGATGTATTTTGCTATGTCGTAAATTAAATTTGAATATATCTTTAATTTTAAAATTATTTATTCTTTGTGTATAAAAAACATTTAATTTAAAAAAATATTTCTTTGTTATGAATTGATTAGCTTTTGTTTTAATTGTAATAATAGTAAGTATTGTATTTTCTTTATCTAGGAAAATATCCCAGGAAACACTTAGAATACTTCGTAGCACAAGCTTTGAGCTTTCTAAAAGTGAGTCAGTATAATTATGTTCTATTCTAAATTTAATAGTTTGATTTTTCTTCATTCACTTAAATTTTCATTTTTTCTTCTTCTTCCTAACATCAACCTAACCTTGCCACCACAGTCGCCTCCTTCCATTCTTCACGATTGTTTGCTTTTTTTCCCCAGTTTGTTATTTCTAGTTTCTCCAAGTCCTATCTTATTCGATCCAACCATCGGTTTTTTGGACGTCTTCTTTTTCTATTTCCCGTTGGCTTCCAGTCTACCGCTGGCGTATAGGTTCTCTGAGCTTGACCGCCTCAACATATTCCCCGAACCATTTGTTTATTTATGCTTTCACAAAATTTATTATCCTCTGCAGGTACTACTTATACTCAATTCACGGATCTGTTTGTTCAACAACCCGAATCGTTGTCATATTATGCTGGACCACATACTCAACATTATTATTCCCAAACGTCATCAGTTTTTCCTCCATTCGGCTTGTTAAAGTCCATATTTCACATCCATATATTAAGGTTGATCTTATTATTGCCGTGTATAGATTCCCTTTGGTTCTTCTAGAAAATAATTTAGATTTGAGGTAGTTGATTAAAGAAAATGATAATTTTTATGCTTTGATGACTCGGTTACTCAATTCGAGTCATTTTTCCCGTTTAAGTGGCACCTAGGTATGTTACATACCTTTTTTTTTTTTAACTTTTTCAAATGTATGTCCTTGTATCATTATTGTTTCGACTTGATTGTCGTTTGATAATAAATTACTCCATTACTATAAGTTGTCGTATTTTGTTATATTAAATTTATACAGGCGCTATATTTTATATTATATTGACGAATAAATCGTGTTACAATTATTATTATACAATTTTCTTACGCTTAAGCAAACAAATCGTTCAGCGATTAATCAATATTGTGAAACTTAAGTTTTAACAGTACGACACTGAACACAGTTGCAGCTATAGGTAAACAGAATGTTGGCCACGGGATTGAGGCTTTCCGTCGGTATAACATCGTGGGATGGACTCCCTATTACTGCGTCCGTAATTAGCACAGTTATACGCGGGCGGCGGTTCTGCAGATGTAACCAAACGGCCAGTTATCAAGGCGCCTGGCACGTTTTCGCGCAGGTGCAGCAATTGCACTTGTTCGGAACCGTGCACGGTGCCCGGGAAGTCCGCGTCATGCTTGTCGTGCCGATCGTCCGACGGTTTTTCGTTACACGCAGCGCGATGAAAAAAAACGGATTGTTAATTTTCGAACATCCCGCCACGCACGGCGGCCGAGAAGTCTCTTCCGCGCGGCGAGCGGCGCCGGGAGATGGAGCCGTTTCCGTACAACACTGCGTCGCGCGCGGCGGCCGAGACATCTCGTCCGCACGGCGGTCGGCGCGAGACGGCCGAGGCGGTTCGGAACGGCGCCCCGTACAGGGCGGCCGACCGCTCGCCGCGACGCGTTCCGTGATGTAAAAAAACGGTTTGCCGACTTCCGAGCGTCCCGTCGTGCAGCACGGCGGCCGAGGCGTTCGCGTACGTTCCGCGGAGCGCGGGAGCCGAGGAGACCGCGTCCGGCCGGCGTTCGCGCAGCGTACCGGGATCGGCGCGCCGCGGAACGTCACCGCGGTCGGACCCCGAGAATCCGACCGATGCTTGGACAACGCGCGGTAAAGCGGCTCGCCGGACGGCGGCCGGTCCGGCGACGCGAGCCGCGGGGCCGCGCCAGTCACCGTCGCACCCGTCACGGCCTCGATTGCCCGTGCGCCGAACCACCACCACCACAACAGCAGTACGGCCGTTTTCGCGGACATCGTCGTCGACGGCGGCGGCGGCGGCAGATGTGTTCACGCGGCGCAACGGCAACGACAACGGACAGCGACGGTTTCGGCCGAGTTCTTGTTTATATTGCCGCGCACAACGGTATTGTAAAACGAAAACATAAATCAATATCATTTCGTTGCTGCGCGAGTTGTAACTATGCCAACTTCGAATACGGCCGAACCGCCGTTCTTATCAACGTAATGGATTAACGGATTAACTAAGTGGATTTTACGGGACTGCGAAACTCCGCATTGTCAATACGAGCTCCGTGCGTATTCGAAAGTATGGTACTATCGCCCGCCGATTGTCGATTTCAATTTCAAAATTTGTAGAATTCGACATTCACTGGATTTCTTCGGCGATACAACGGATGACCGTCGACATCCGCAATAGTACCATCGGCATATTTCTCTTGAAACCGTTTCTTACGTTTTCCGTTCTCCGATGCGCATGGCGATGTCACGTTAAAAGCGCCGCACGGTCCGCGGATCACGCGGCTGGTGACAATGTCAAGCGATTCCGGGTCGATTGATGGATCCGGGATTTCGACTGATATCATTTGATCGATTTCTCTCGGACGGGTTTTAAGTTCAATCCACATTAAAATGTGGACACGAGGCAAACGTCGCTTTTACTACTCAATCGAATGCAGTAAACAACGCGTGTCGTCGAAAACCGAACGTTTAACGATTAAGTTAATGAAGGATTTTAATTTTTGTTTGAATGCCCGTGCAGTGATATCACGACGATTTATTGATTGCTGGCCTGGTAATAGTAAAGTTTTTATTTCCTCCCGATTCAGATTACATGCAAACGCAATAAACCAATCTAGACGACCGTAATGACGTACGTAAGTCATCGCAATAAAAAAAATATCGAGGTCAAGAAGACTATCCTGTCTCGGATAGACTTTTTATTTTAAGTTGTTATGGCATTTTTATTATTTATTTTTTGTTTTAAATTGTTTTTGTATTTTATCCGTGTAACTATATTAACCCACAGTTCAACAAAAATAATTTGATTTTCATACTGAAAATATCTAAGAACCTTTCATCCTCTTCTAGGTCATAAATCCAGACGAAGACTATTCTATCTTTTAAACGGAACCGAATCACATACATTGGACAATATCTGATCGAAATCGGTCGAGTAGTCTCAGAGTGTATCGTACCCCAACTCGTCGAACACGTGATTTGTATGCACGTAAAATACTCGTACTGTATTTCGAGTATTAAGATCCTCACGAAAACGATGCAGTCCGGGTGACGTTCGTAAAAATAGCATAGCAATATTGCGAAACGTATCAGCGACATCACAGTCGCGCGTGCAACGCAACTGACGTACGACTACAACTCCATTATTGTTGTACGAATAATAATGTTATTGCAAATATTAATGTAAAATCAATTGCGCGAATAGACGAAAATTATTACGTCAATAATATAATGATAAATTTGAAAAATCGAACGAATTGTACAATAAAACATTGTGATCGTATGTTAGTGGATACGGAAAAAACAATTAAGACTATTTTCCTCCGAACGCCATACAAGCCGTATGATTTTTTAGAGCCCTCTGGGTAACTACGCGGTTTCGTCAAACGCAATACGGTTGATGATTTATCTTCCGCCTCCTGTCTTCGCGTTATCCACATCTCACTGGTTCGCTTCATTTTAGGGCATGGGGTCGTGATCCGGCATCTTCATTTTTCCCGCGGTGAATAACGAATTGAACGGATCAAAAACACATTCTTATCATATGCTGCTTTGCTCTTAAATATCCGTCGTCCCCGGCACGATTACTCTCTCGTTCGCTCCGCTCTTCGACTTCCATCCTTACGCCGTGTCCTAATTGAATCCGAGCGATGCGGTGCGTGCGATGCGGAAAAAAAACAAATCCGGTATAATAAGTATGGACGTTCTAATTCAACCGTACGTGCGGCGTGGCAACGACCACGGCGACGGGCAATGTACCTACAATATTGTTATTTCATTTGAAATTTATACACGGTACCTACAGTCACGGAGAGTCTCGTATCGGAAGTTCAAAAAAATGCCTATTTTAAGGGACAAGTTCCATAAACAATATGAAGATAGAATCGAAATTGATAGAGGGCGGAAAACAGTTACATCCACTGGAGAAATTAAGATTTAGGGGTATAATACGAGACACGTTATTACGTGAAATTTCCTACCAATAATTTTTTAACGGTCTCAATATGGCAAATTGCTATTCAAATCCAACGTCTACATCGTCTACGTGTGTTTCAAATACATATTACATGGACGCATCAAGCAATTAACCAACAACACAGTATTTTAAATTAAAAAATATGTTCGATCTAAATAAAGCATCACTTGGCGTAATTGTTGTGGGTAAAGATGATAAAATTCGCCAAAAGTAAAACGATCTTTATATCTTTATCTGTATAAAATGATTTCTGTTATTCATTTTTTTTAAACGTACACACTTCAACCGTAGTTTTTCGGACAGCAGCAACTTTCGTTGTGTGGATACACAACATTGACTCCTCTCCTGACCTTTTGTCCCCTATCTCCTTCCGCGTTCCCTCGTATAACGCGAGAAATCACTCCTCTTTTCTAATTCCCCGTCATCACACTTCATATAAAGTCATCCCTCGCGTAGAACGTTAAGGCGTCTGAATAAGTTCGGCCCTGATCATACCTCTTCGCACTTTCGTTGTAACAGTGTACCACTACTAAATATTCGATGTCCCCCAGGTACATGGTGATAAGTTTCGCATGACAACCTCATTTTCGAAAAATCGCTTCACCTCTTTTGCCCGGTGGCCGTCGAATCGTATGCTACCCGTACTTGAAATACGCGCGATTTCGTCGGAAAATAATAACGAAACGACGCGATGGCCTCGGGTTCGGTGACGACGATAACAACCGGCGTACACGGCGAAATTTATGTTTATTTATTATTATAGACACTATTATTGCGTATAGCTTAGGCGGTTGGGGGGGGGGGAGAAGAAAAGCTTTTTGGACTGTGAATAATATTATGCGAAAGCGTACACGTATGTGTAGGTAGGTAGACGAGAGGAACGAGACGGCGAACACGGCGACAACGCGCTCGGCGGTGACGGCGGCGACGCGGCGGAAAGCAGCGTCCCATCAATTTCTATTACACGCACAATCGGCCGTTTGTCGGATGCTCCGGCGGCGGCGGTTACGACCCCTTTGTCTTCACACACCGCCGCCGCAAATGCAGCACGCATATATATATATGTGTGTGTGTGTGTTTGCGTGTATGTGTGTGTGTGTGTGTGTGTTTGTGTGTGTGTACGTGTGTGTGTGTGTGTGTGTTTGCGTGTGTGTGCGCGCGCGTGTGTGTGATATATGCGATACGTGCGATATAATGTATAGACGTGTACGCGCGGGCGTCGGGAAATTCGCGCTGCACACGAGTCCTCTCGTCGATCCGCGGGGCCGCGAACGCACGCCGAATACGTTTTATTTCCTTTGGCACCGGGTCGCCGGGTACGCACGCACGTCCCGGTCCTCCCGGTCCCGTCCTCGGCGCGTCGGCAAACACGAATATTGACGACCGCGCGTCCGGAGAACACTATTGTAGACCGCGGCGCGAGTCGCATACACCCCGTCCCGGCGCGCGTGGCGGTGTCCGCCGCCGCCAGACACCGTGATATCGCGCAAATGCTGGACGAATATAACGATATGTGTAACGCGATTCGCGCGCGTTTTCCGTATTTTTGGACCTTTGCGGGTAACGCGCCAACACAGATTGCGCACATTTACCGAATTTCAATTTTTTTTCCATACCCGCGCAAAACAAAACGGCGACTACCAGCCCGAGTCGTTCTGAAAACAAACCCGTCACATTCGTATCGAAAATATTTCAATACGGTTCAACTAACGGGCAATATAGCAAAATCGGTTTATAACCAGGAGTGGCTCCAGAGACCTGGTTGAGAAGGGGCCAAGTCATATTTATTAAAGTGTGTATTTAGTCATTTCATACACACTTTTACGTGTCTGTAATAATCCATAGTGCAGTTTATAACAAAAAATATGGGCTTAGGTGGGCCACGGCCCATAGAGTCCCCCTAGTGTCACCCCTGGTATTAATGATGATTCGAATATTCGGAAATCGATGATCAACGGTTGTAGTTTAATTAAGCTCTTATTATTTTTAAATCTTAATACTACATTTTGAAAAAAACTATAAATCAAAATTGCATGGCATAAAATTTACTGAATCAAATCTACTATCAAGTATCATTAAATTGTTGTTTTTGCATGATTTTTGTTCTACTATCCACTTCAGAGTGGTTAAAATCACTTTTATTAACATGTATTATAAATCGATCGATTTCAAAGTCAAAATTATTTTGACGTCATGGTGCCTGTAGGGTAGCGTACGTCACGCGTTGATACTATAGTGCACGTTTTGAACGTCCTTTTTTTACCGCGGAGATTAAACCTCGTTTTAATTTTAATTTCCATTTGAACATTAATTTTAATAATTAAATTTGATATTCTTTGATATTATTATTTCGTCGAACAGTCGCCGCCGTCGGGTTCGACGCGCATTATTTAAACATTTGAAACCAACGAAGAAATGAATTTATTTGATCTTTGTTTCGGAATAACTCGTTGGTTTTAAATGTATTATTATTATTCGTTCGTGAATAAACTGTCGGTCGGATAACACGCCAAATGATTAACATGCAAATCAAATGAAATAATAACCATGCAGCCGCATTTAGGTCTGTTTTTCCGCATTAATTAAACCGCGGCTCCGCAGATCTCATAATGTACGCATTTCGTATTTTAATCTGTGCCTATAGGTCGTTGAAATGTATAGACGGCCATGTGACCATACACAGTTGTATATATTCAGATAAAAACTATTTTTGACAAAATTGTTATGATAAAAAAAAAAGATCATTGTTCTTAAACGTGAATCAGCAGCGATAAAACAGTTCGGATAAATTTGATTTTAAATTTGTTCAGTCACATTATTAAAACGAGAGGCTAAAATAAAATAGACCGGTATCGATCAGTTAATCATTAGCACCAAATTGACGTACAAAAGACAAATTCGGGACAGTGCAATAATTTACAGAGCCATATTTATAATATCCAAGGCTGAACAAGTTAATGATATTTTTTAACTCAATCAGGCTAAATTAAATATTTTATTTTCGATTAAATTAAAAATTAGGATAAAACATACACTTTGATTAACTTAATTTCAATTAATAAGTTAAGTTAATTTTAGAAAAAATGCATTGATTAAGTATTGAAAATTAAAATACCTAATGAAAGTGAATGCAAATATGAAATATTACCAATGTGTATATTTTAAAAACCTGTAGAGTTTATAGAATTTTAATCGTAGTTCAGACTCAGGGATCATAAATTTAGATTTAAGTGTAAAAGTAATTACTGTATTTTTTATTTTTTATTTATTAATTTAAAAAATAAATAACTAAAAAACAAACAAGTACATGTTTTAAACAAGTATTAAATTTTTTTTCAAAATATATATTCAATTTTAATAACAGATAGTACCTATATAGTACCCAAGGAATACCCAAGTAGGTACTATAAA